GGGCGGGGGTGGGTCTGCGGCGCACCGCCGTTGCAGCCGCTTACGCCTGCTTGCTCTTTTCGCTGCGACGGCCCGCTGCTGGCGAGAAGCTGCTGGCGAGAAGCAGACCCCAGCGACCTGTTGGCCCCCTCATCATACGCTCCCCCTCTCCACTCCCGCCCCTCCCCCTCGAAAATAAATCAAAGGTCATGAACCGCCTGTGCGCCGCGGTGGCGTGCTCGCAGCCGTCCCCCGTCACGCGCGCCTACCTCCTCACGGCCCTGGCCAAGCTGGCCGTCGCCGCGGGGGGGCTGGTGCCGCCTGATGCGGAGGAGCTGCTGGCCAAGGGGGCGGGGTCGGTGGACGTTGAGCTGCAGCAGCGCGCCAGGGAGGCGCGCACTCTCATAGGGTGCGTTCCTTGGTATTATCGCTTTCTTGCTTTCTCCCGTGTGCTGCCATCTTACGCCTGGTTGGGTTCATTCCCAGCGGTTCTCGGCGGTGGGATACAGGCGGCTGTGCTGATGTCTTCCAGGGGACACGTGCGTTTGGGTGTCATCGCGGCGCCCGCTTTCCGTAGAGACGGGACCGGGGGATCCGCAGGCGGCGCGAGCGGTGGCGCTGCCATGATTGGAGCGGCTTGAGAGGCTGCCCTCCCATCCTTCCCCAAGTGCTGACGGCACCGCCCACCCCTCCTGCCCTTCTGTCCCTACCCCAACCACCAAACGCGGCGCCCCGCAGCACGCCCGCGCTGGCCGCGGCCGTGCTGCCTCCCGACGCCTCCTGCGAGGAGTTTGACAGCCACGAGCTCTCAGCCGCCCGCTCCCTCTCGTTCCTCGACGCCCACGTGGCCGCGGCGCTGGCAGGGGGCGCGGCGCCGTACGCGCCGCCGCCGGAGCTGGCAGGATTGGACGAGGGCGACCTGGAGGGGGCCCTCGAGGCGCTGGGCGGCGGCGGCGGCGGCGGCGGGGCGCACCACCAGCAGCAGCACCACGCGCTGCGCTTCGATGCGTATGAGCCCACCGCCGCGCCGGCCGGCGGCGCGGCGGCGGCGGCCGCGGCGGCGCGGCGCGCGGGGGCGGACGATCTTCTGGGGATTGGCGGGGGCGCGGTGGCGGCGCGCGCGGCGTCGCCGTCGTACGAC